CGATGCGCCTGAAAGGCACCAAAATGATTCTCACACGACTAAGTGCGTAAGTTGAGTTGCCACGAAGCATTAGTTGGAAGCTTTGCGATTCTGAGCGTTCCATCGCAGACTGGGTGACTAGTATGGAGAACGCAAGCAAAACACATGAATTACGTAATTGTGCCAAGTGTACGATAGCTTAAAGCAGAAAAACCCCGGGGCGAAATTCATCGGCTCAGGTTTCAGTCCAACAGAGAAGTTAACAAACGCTAACTAACACTTCTGGGATGATTAGATCATCTTTCCTCTGCGAGACAGTGGTAGCCAATTAAAGCCGTTCATAAGAGATAAATATTCAGCTCCGCATCCACTAAGCTGTTTAATTCTTGATTCAATAAACAAGAACTTGCTTTTAACCGATAGTTTTTGTCAGTACCAAATTATTTGAGCTAATTTAAAAAAATCGATAGAGGCAAAAAGGTATTCGTTATTTTCAGAATCCCAGCAATTATTAAGTAAGCGCCCAATTTTTCTCCAATCAGTAGTTGTGAGGAACTGAAGTTGATTGCAGTTATTGACACAAGTTCCTTTGAATGAAGAAAATTAGTGCTGAATTTTTGTTTAAATTATTACGACCATTTTGGATATGCTGCAAGCCATTCTGTGTCAAGAGTACACTGGCCAGTTTAATTCGTGAGGACTCCTGCTCTCCTTAAGGCGGAATCGAGAACGACCGCTAGCAGAAATCCCGAGCTGACATCCGGGTCAACGCGCGCTGGAAAAGGTCACAGCATTTGATTAGTCCTTTTAGGATGTATTCACTCTAAACATCTCATCCCCAGTACATTTTTAATGGGGATTAATCCTGTGAAGATTTACGAGGTGGTCGTTCAGAAAGACACGTAGCATGAACGACAGTGTGTGATCGATAGTCCTTCCCCTATCACTATTTCCAAATTGCTGCTTAGCAGTTTGAACCCTGGGCGTTAGCTTGAAAATCAAACTCATTTGAAGACCATCATGTGTCCGAGGCTTGAACAAATACGCACTTTTATTTTTGACGAGAAGAAGTATTCCAAGATGTGTTCACAATTGCAGAAACAATGAATTCTGACAGGTTCTGAGCAAGAGTTTGCAAGACTAGACTTCGAACCGAACTCCGAGTACACGCTGTCAGCTGAACAAGAATGCCCAGGCCATATTTCTTTGTGTTTGACACTAATAGTGCAACTCCCAGAAGGCAGCAGCAAGCGTACAACTCTCAGTCGACACTTTAATTGACGAATTCTCAAGTTAATCAGTACGATCTTGAAGGCAGAACCTGTTCGACTCCCATTTGTGAAAAGACAGGAAATTTGACCGCTCTTAACTACGGTTACGGCAGGTATCCTTTCAGCCCCATGAGGTTTTCGTTCGTTGTCTTTCTCGGAGGCTTGGAAGTATTTACGTGTGCTTACCTTGAAGGTGTTTTGCTAAAGCCAACTAGGGTACCAGAAAAAAAGGTAGGAAAAGCCCCATTGCATAGTCATCTTTCACCAAGGCAGTGGGGCTGTTCATTTATCACAACAAGTGGGGACTGTTCTGAGAAAGAACGTGTGCAGAGAATTCTTGGAAACCAATTTTTCAGAAAAATGTGTTCTTGAAGTCACATTCACACTCCCTGACATCTAAACTAATTAAAAATGTGGAGAGTTTTCAGGAGTTGATGATAATTGAAGTAGGTCAGGTATCCTTGATAAAATAATGCGTGATTGTGGCTGAAATTGACGAATTTGTCTAAAATACAGAAAATTTACTGGGTAAATCAAACAAATTAGCAAAAGACCTTAAAGACTCCACTGGTGCGTTGACTTGACAACCGGCTTCCACTGGAATATGATGGTTACTTTTATTAGTTACCCCAATACCTCCACCACTCCCTTGTAGTCTCTTATCGGAGTGGCTTCGCACTCATTTCGTTATCTGTCACCGTCCCTTTCCCCCACAAAGAATGACTCACTCCTGTGTGATACCGCGCTCACGAGAGCAACCAAGCCGTCTCGTTCACAGCCTTACGGGCTACCGACACAACAGTGAACACTGGTTTACTCTTATTTGGCCTAACCTGACGCGCACTGTTTTTCCAGCTAGCGCATCCCCTGAATTGCTCTATCGCTCTTTGAGTGAGCAGCGTTTGAGAGGGTGACTATTGATTAATCGAATTTGTGGGCGCTAACACCTTATGCACGTTCGAGCAGATGGAATAACCATAAACCTGATAGCACCGAATCGAGTTGACGGAGGTCATGTTTGCTTGCCAATGGACAGTAAATGAGAAAACTATTCAAATGCCAAACAACCGTGGCTTCTAGTTGGAGCGAAGGTGTTGGTACCGGACATTTTAACCTTGAACGCTTTATTTAGTTCTACTCAATAGAACTCATCCTTCCATCTTTCACGCCCGTTCCATAAGGCACCCGTCTGGTAAGTACCACTCAATCTTTTGTGGACACCAACTTACACGCGCAGTAGTGAACCAAGAACCACCACGAAAGCTCAAATTCACGTGCGAATAAATGACTGCATCGATACTGACCATGGTCCTGCGTCACTGCTGGTAGTTTGGCTCAACAAGAGCCTCTTGATGAAGCCTGGTCGTCCTTGATATGGATTTTCCTTCCATGAACAGGCTTCAGTTGATTTGGCACTCAATATAAATCCTGTTTTATGTGCCATCCATCCTCCGCTGTAATTAATTTTGCAGGGCCTTGGGTGCCTGTGGTTAACTGATCTTGCGTTTTACCCGTGGGTGGGCGTTCTTCAGACCGGAACCACAGAGGAACTCGATGCTCCGCCTGCTGCGCCTCGAGATGCATGGTGTCTGGACGCGGATTGGTTGGGGCCGGGGGTGGGCGGGGGTCATTTTGGGTCATAAACAGGTGGCAACCAGACCCACGGTTAATGTGCCGCATCGCTCCGTCGTTAAAAATTACTCCTGTGGTCTTAAACTGGTCAGTCATAAAAGCAACCCAACGACTACATTATGAGGCACGGCGCTGCCTGACTGATGTCCTGTGCCCGAGGGTCGCTTACTAGACAGCAATGATGAGTGAAGTGCCCACACAGGAGCCTGCCACTGGCCTTTTCGCAGTAGGCCTTCTGTCTTTTCCCCATCACCACCATCATGAGCTAGTGGTCAATCATGGCATTTCATGTTGGCACAATGCACAAAAAGTAACGCTGGCGACGAGTCCACTCTCAACCGATCGTGAGCGTTAAAAATGACTCAAGATCGACAAATTTACCAAAAACGTTTAATGATTCTGTTTAATTGGAAACAAATTGACAAATTTACCCGTTCTCGTTTTTAATGCATAGTGAAAAAGTTCGTAAATAATTAAATGAAGCAGAAAATCACTTAAATTAAGAATTCAGCGATGTACTAATCAATTAGCATGATTTTGATCTATTCAAATAAAAAAGGATCGCTTACACTGTAAATCGTTTTTATGCACAATGCCTGGCAGTACCTATCAGGTAGGGAAATGGTTTCAGGTGACAATTTCGCTTGAAAAGCTTTAAAAGCGATCTTATCATACCTTCACCTTTTGCCAATTTAACCCGATTCTTGTGTAGTTGTTTCCCTTGTAGGATTTTTCGAAAGAACACTTAACCACTTTGCTCTGATATCACTGACTGTCGAATGCGCAGTTAAATTTCGCCCTCAATCACCTTGATTCAGGAATTAGGGGTTTCTAATTGACCGCATGACTTAAATTAGTCTACAAAGTGAACAACACTAATTGGCAACTGTCGCCGGACACGAGTGCCAGAGACGTCAGACAGCTCCTGCTTCAAGAGGAATGCTTAAGGCGAAGCGACCAGACATTCGTAATGACCGGTCTTCCTCCGGCTGACTTCCTGCGATTCTGAAGAGCAAGAACCCAGTCCTCGGGTAAAAACTGCCCGCACACACACACACACACTCCTCTCTCTCTCGGTGCGAATGAAAGGCAAGCTTCGTCCCAAGCCAAATCTGTAATTAAGAAGCTAACGCACTTTCAACCTCTCCTGTTTACTCTCCTTTCATATTTTACCCTAGTTTACTGCTTCTGAATTTTTTAAATCAAACCAAAGCTGTTGTTAACAGCTAAAAATGTCGGAATTTATTAAAAATCAGATGCTAAATTCTCTTGGAATCGTTCTAGAAAGAGCGGTCTAGCGACCATCGTGCGGTTTTGAGTCTTGGTACACGTGCACTTTTCTAGTGCGTTTCCACCTCAATCCAATTTTACGGGGGAACTCAAGGTGATTGAGAGTACCCATAATTTTCGCCAGAATTATTCAGCTTCATTATTTACGTACATTAGACCAGTTTCGATAGAAAATTCACCTGAAGCATTCGCAGTCAAGTGCAAATTGGACGGAATTTGCCAGTGACTCCAGTGTAAAGCCTTGGTCTCCTAGTCTATGGTGCATGTTCAGCGCTAGTAAGCTAACCTAGTTTGAACAGACGATTCTGCAGCTGCTGTGGAGACTACGCTCGTGTACTAATGCGGAATTCAACTGATGCGTCATGTCTGGTGTCCCACCTGTCCGGGACAACCGACCCCTGTTGCCTGCTCAGAGTTCCTGCAGTTTCTCCCATAGATGGGCCTGGATGTTTTGTAATTTTAAACGCGTGTTGTGGCCCCACTCCACCAAACTCGAAGTCGCTTCCGAGTGAGCATGCTTAGGCAACTCCCATCCGCTTACCAAATAAACTTCCCATGGCCCTTGGACAACTTAGCAACAATACGAACTGTTTTTTGATTCCTCTGAATCTTGTGGCTGTAGGTGATTAACTTCTACCTACCTTAGCTAAGTTATAAAAAGCCTCTTTATAAAGGGGGATGGTTACAATTTAAGATAAAAAGTTCATGAATAAACCGGAGAAATTACTTTACAAAACTTAAATGGCTGCCTCGTAGTAAGTTGGTCCGATTTTGACGATTTAGCGGAAATGCGGTGAAGCGTTTAACGTGGGCGGCCGATGACAACACACGTTTGAAAACTCTTTTGTGCCGCTGGACGCTGTTCATGTACTTTACCTTCGGACGTTTGCTAACCACCTGGTAGAATTGAGGAAAGCCAGATTCGTGTAGATTTAAGTACAAAATCTGTTCAAGGGCACAACTCACTTGCTCCACACCTGTTTCGATTGTGGTACCCCAAAAACATGAACTTTTTATCTTAAATTTTAACCATCCCCCTTTATAAAGAGGCTTTTTATAACTTAGCTAAGGTAGGTGGAAGTTAATTTAACCTACAGCCAAAAGATTCAGAGGAATCAAAAAACAGTTCGTACTGCTGCTAAGTTGTCCAAGGGCCATGGGAAGTTTAATCACACCCCTTAATCCGGTCGCTCCGCCTCCGACACATGTCGCCGCATGTCGCCAGCCGCGCCGATCCTCAACTCCCCCCTCATTTACAAGAATATTTGTCTTGGATTATCCTCACACCTAGGTCTCGATGTTAGCGCATGTATGACTCACACATCCAAGGTATAAATACACACGCGCAAACCCCAAAGGCGACACAACGACACCAACGTGGCTGAGCTCGGAAGTAAACGGTTGTGTCCACGTCCTCTCTGATCTTTTTCTTCACTGTGGGTATTAGGGAAACGTAATCGGGCCAGGGTTAATTCCGCGGCCCCGGCGTGGTCCAAGACCATATGCTAGGACCCACAACATAATCAATTGTGTCTAAAAATGAACGAACTTTTTCAGATGGGTACATCAACACCACGTATGCCACTGCGGCGAAGTTTGCCCAGCTTAAAGTCACCCAACCTTCATAACGTGCATACTGCAATAACTTGAATGTGGCCCCAGTGAACCCCCAACTAAAACTGAAGTCGGTAAGCACCTATTTTCGAGGGTTTTTTGTCAAGGGACATCACCTTACGTGTAGTAACTTCTATGTAAGCCACGGTTTTTAATAGCACTAACCCCTCTGTACTCAATTTACCTAATAAGTGTGATTCGATTGACTAGTCTTGCTTAAAAGTAAAAACTCTAGAAAAGATCTTATGAGTACCGATGTGGCATCTTCCCGTTAAATGGCAAGTGTAGGGTATTGATGATCCTACTTCCAAATTTCGTGTTCCTTTCACTGAGTAGACAGAAGACGCCACACAATCTTTGGCACTTGGTGGATTCCGGGATGTCGTAAGCCTTCACACCGAGGACCTTAGGGGAAACGAGTTGTTTAGAGACTTTGGTTTCTGCGTGTTCACGTTTCGAGGACCCATGCAGTTGCATCGTCCTTGTGAAAACGAGTCTTTCGACCAATCGCATCTCATTATGACCTTTTTTTAAAGCCTGACGTGGAGATATAACAGTGGATTTTATTGTGTTTGAACTGGTAGAAATAGTTAAGTTTCTAGTGTTTCAATTAAAAATGCGATTCCACTACCACCTTTCATGTACAGCCTCGAGGTGATTGGTAATTATGCCTGGATGATTATCTCAGTACCTAGGGATGTCCGTCACAGCATGATGCGCAATTTTGCTGCACAATCTGATGGTAATGTGGGCCATTGGTTGAGAATTACCCACTTGCAATTTTATCTTCATCTGAAAGCTTGGCCATGAATCTCAGTCTCCTAGTTTCTCGCACAGGTTTCAATTCTCGACGCCTCTGACGCTGCAACAAACTTTGAGACATGGATTAGTTGATGTAGCAATGATGCACAAGTCTTCGCTGGTAAACAGGGCGGCCACTCAGGTCTCCACCACAGCGCTCTGCAGTTCTTTCTCTTCCTGTGTCTGTGACGTTGAGCTCGAGCAAAAAAAGTCACCAGAGAAGTCCCTAAATTTTGTTAGTTGTTATCGAGTTTTAGCTTCTTTTATACATTGAAACAATTTATTAAAGTAAATTTTCAAGGCCATTCACTTTTAGCGACTAAGAGATGTTGGTGTTGTTTGGTTAGAGAGGTTGGAAAAAGAGCGGAAATTATTTGATAGAGGATAAACCTTAAGATTAAGTTCGAATGCCATTCCCATGGGTCTCCTACATTCCGCTCTGATGGCCAAAGTCGTGAGTAGAAATTTCCGCTGGTTCATCTCAGGTTTCATTGGGGCACACCAGTTTCAAGAAACCGCAAATCACTGTGGTCGTTGCTTCGTCTCTTCACAACACTGAGTGAACCACCGGCTCTCATGTCCTCGATTGAGGACGGTGTGACGAGTGAATATTAGAGAAGTCTGGTTTGACTTACTCTAATTTACTACCTAATGAAGCTGTCATGTAGGCAAAAACACATAAACTCCTTCAAAAGTTGCCTGTGGATAATTTTTTTCAATTTAAGTGGTGTCCGCACCCTACCGAGTTGCCCGAAACACCAAAAAATCCCGCTGAAAAAGGGGCTGTTTGATGCTGTCAGTTTTGCGGTATCGATTTATTAGAACACCAGAGTTATGTAGAGAAATTTGGTGTTGAAGCAGTGGTTTCTTTAAATCGGTCAACCGGTATTAATGTGATTGGTATAACCCACCGGGAACTTTAGCGATTTTTTGCATGCCTTGGGATTCAACAGCGGTAATCCTTCGTACCTCGCAACACCCGATTTGTCCAGTGCCAGAGGAAGGTAAATGGAGAGGCTCGTAAGACTATTGCGATAGTTCTTTGGCACAAACAGACCGCGACTAATGCAGAATTTCGGCTGCGCATTGGCCTAGTTATTCAATGCCACAGGTGCTGTCACGGTTTCCGCCAACGGTTGGATGTGACTTAAAAAGCGCTGCCAATATTCGTCACACCTGTCTGGCTTGCTTTGCTTTTTGATCCTTTTTCAGTCGAATTTTTTAGGCTAGGAGAGGAAGCTACTGGCAAAATCTTGGCTGATCTTAAAGAAGGCGTGAAGTCTAAGGTCCGCCGCAAGGACGAGTGAGATCACACCGTGTACTATCAACTGTGCTTGTGAACCAACTGCATTGTATTGTCAATTTGTTAACAGTCCTTACTGATCTTGCTT